GCTGCAACTACTGAAGCCCAAGGGCCTAGAGATTGTGCTCCACAACTAGAGAAGCCACCACAAAGAAAAGCTCACACGCCGCAATGAAGAGTAGTCCTCATTTGCCACAACTAGAGAAAGCCCGCACAAAGCAATGAAGACCCAACACAGCCAAAAATAAATAAATGAATAAATAAATAAAGAAGGGAATAGAAAGGGCAAGGGTGGAGACTTTCCTGGTGGTCCAGTGGTTGGAACTTTCGTCTTCCAACACAGGGGGTGCAAGGTTCAATCCCTATCAGGAAGCTAAGATCCCACATGCCTGGTGGCCAAAAAACTGAAAACATAAAACAGAAGCAATATTGTAACAAATTCAACAAAGACTTTAAAAATAGTCCACATTAAAAAAAAATCTTAAGGGAAGGTGGCAAGAGGGTCAGGGAAGTCCACGTCTTCAGCCAGGACTTGAAGAAGGTATCAGAATGAGCTCTTATCTAGTGACAGGGAGGAGAAGAATCCTAGACAGAGGGAGCAATTGTTGTATAGGCCCTGAGACAGAAACATACTTGGGGAGGGAGATGGGGTGGCAGGTGGTGGTCCCTGACCCTTCCCCTGTTTGCCTAGTCCCTAAGATGGGGACTCACTCTAGTGACCAGAGGGCCTGATCCAACCTTGGACACATTTCACTTACTCCACAAAGTGTTAGGGAAATTAAAAGTCAGTTACCAACATTTAAAAATCAAGAGGTTTCATCCTAAAAATCAATGTTTCCAGCTTCTTTTGTTGGGAGATGACATCCGAGAAATTCAGAGTGCAGATCTCTCTCTCTCACACACACACACACACACACACACACACACACATGCGCACACATGTGCATGCACACACACAAGAGTACAAACCTCCAGGTAACAATATGTGTGTGCTCAGCTGCTTAGTCATATCTGACTCTTTGCGACCCCATGGACTGTAGCCCGCCACCTCTGTCCATGGGGATTCTCCAGGCAAGAATACTGGAGTGGGTTGCCATGCTCTCCCCCAGGGGATCTTCCCCACCCAGGGATCGAATCCTACTCTCTTGTGTCTGCTGCATCTCAGGCAGATTCTTTACCACTGAGCCACCAGGAAGCCCATGAGTCACCCTGTCTGGCACCTCACGTGACTCCTGGAGGCCAGGCAGGCAGCAACATGCCCACAGCCACACCCCCAAAGTGGCAGGACAGGACCTGACAGTTCCCACTTTTCTCCCATAAGTACTGAATTCTCATGTCACAGGGAGCAGCTCCACAAAGCCCCAGGAGGCGACATTCATCTGTCCATGGGTATCTCTGATCCCAGGCTTCCCCCATGACTCCGCGGTAAAAAAGTCTGCCTGCCAATGCAGTAGACTCAGGTTCGATCCTTGAGGTGGGAAGATCTGCTGGAGAAGGAAATCTTCTAACCCACTCAAGTATTCTTGCCTGGGAAATCCCATAGACAGGGAAGCCTGCTGAGCTACAGCCCACAGAGTCGCAAAGAGTACACACACACACATAAACGTACTTGTATATAATCGTACATGCATAATGCATACACATATATAAATAAGCAGACACACTTTCAATATGACTGAAGTCAAATCAACCTGGAAGACTCATCCCCCAAAAATTCAAACTCCAAAGGATGCAAGCAGTTACATGCACTCCACTCCCTGCAGGTTCCCCAGGTTCTCATTGTTCACATCTTTTCCAACCACACAGGGGTCTCAAGTCCTGCCTCTCCCCGCCCTAAGCCCCAGCCCCAGCCCAACACCCACTTGGATGGGGCACATTCTAGTCCAGCCTGCTTTGGGTATAGCCCTGTAAACATCTGTCTATCCAAATGCAAGGCCACGTGATTAAAGCTTCAGGGAACGAAGCTGGCAGAAGACTCTAACTGGTAGTCCCCTCGGGCTGCAGCCAGCCCTTAGACATGTTTTGTCTAACCTGCATAATTTTTTTTAAATGGGAGCTAACTTTTAATATAGAGAGTGCTGCATAAAGATACAGGTTGCTGACATCTTTTGAAATTGTATATGTATGTATGTATGTATGTATATGTATACATATGTGTATGTATGTATATGTATGTATGGCTAGAATTGTATAGAGGTTATCCTGAAATTCTTTTAACTAAATTTTTTCCTCAAAGTAGTACATTTGCAGGATATAAAATTCAGAACGTAGAAGAGGGTGTATGAGGATTAGTAAGTCTCCCTTCCCAGGCATCCCCCAGCCTCTGGGTCCTCCTCTTTAGAAGCAACCATGGGTGCCAATCTCCAAAGATACTTCATTCACTCATAAGTACATGGATATACATTCTTTCTCCCCCTTACAAATGGTAGCATACTTCTCAACACCTTGCTCTTTTCCCCCCATAACAAGATGTCTGGGAGATACTTCAGTTTTGTTCACCAAGTTGCCATCGTGACTTGTAGTCTCACACTTGTCTTGCTTTACTTGCTCATGACTCTTGTCTGGCTCTTTTGGCAACTGAGTGTGCAGACTCTGGCACAGGTGAAGGATGGCGCATCCTTCCTAGCCACCGAGCCACTCGTCCCCACTCAAGTTCGGGTGCATGCAGTTCCTGGACTTCCCAGCAGAGGGAGACACCACTTCATCCTGAAGACCACCAAAGGGGTCTTAAAAGGGACATGGCTATCTTGAAATGTCTGGGAAAGAGATGCTGTCTGCCCAGACACAAAGACCCCCTTAGCTGGGCTGGGATCCTCCCCAAATCAGGCCTCCCCTTCTCTGTTCCTAACTCCCTCTGAACCTCCTGCTTTGACTGAGCCACATCCTGACTGAGCCCCACTCTTTGTAGGGATGGGCCTCTCCTTGATGAATTGGGAGGACACCCTGTCTTAGTCTAGGGCCTGGGATTGAGGATTTGCCCGAGGGACCCACATAAAGAACATATGTGTCTGGACGGGCATTCCTCGCCTCACCCTCGTCCTTCCCTGCTGAGAATGGGGTGGGGGGGGGGTCCTTTCTCCCTGCCCCCAGCAGACAGCCTCCAGCAGAGCCTTGACCTCGAAACCTCCCGTCCCCATCCTGCCCTCCAGCACTCGCCCTGGCACCCTTTCTCTGGCCTGGCCCCGGCGGCCTTCCTCCCACCCCCGCAATGGTGTTGGGGGTCGCCTGGAGTCCAGCTGGTGGCCAGTGCAGAGCCACCCCTTTCCTGGCCCTGCCCCTCCCCGTGACCCCAATCCTCCGCCAGCCACTCAAAGGCGCCTTGTTCTCCATCCAGCCCCCAGACAAAAGTCCCTCTGTCTAAAAAGGAGGAATTGGGGGGAGGGGGCACCCCAACGGGAACCAAGTGGGGGCCTGCACAGACCCCAGCCGGAAGGAATGCCATGAGGAGGAGGGGCAGGAGGTGGGGGGAAGGGAGGACAGCACAGTGCAATGGTCTTATCCAGGGTGACAGGCAGCCCCCACCCCAATGCCCACTGCAGAGACATGTGGCCCCCAGCACCCTAGGGAAAAGCCCCAGTTGGGAAGGTCTGTCTTGAGCTGGGAACCTAGCGTCCAGCTCCCTAGGCTGTGATGGGCAAGATAGGGGAGAGATCATGGTCTAAGGCCCAACAACCCCCACCCCATCACCACCCTTACCCCTTGGGCATCCCACCCCCTCCTCATGACCTTGGGCTTATTGGCCCATTTTGCTGACCCTCCAACTGTGTCAACAGCAACAAGTAGCCCAGAGGAGGACCTTAGATCTCCCACAATGGCCACCAATCCTTCCTCCAAGGACAACACCCAGTCTAAGTAAGAGAGATTACGTTATTACAACCAAAGCATGGCCTTCCCCCATCACCCCGCCAGGCAGCAGCTCTGCTATTAAAGACGGGAACATCTCCCCCTTTCCTGTTCTTTTGTGAGGGGCAGGAGATTGGAGAATGCACCCTCCCTGGATGTGAGCCCTCATCCTGTTCTCCTTCTGCCCTGCCCAAGGTTGCTGTGATCTTGGAGACCCCAGGGGAGCTCCCTGCCACTGGAAGTGGGGGTGGGGGTGAGTGGGAACTGTCTCTTTAAGAACAGGCACGAGGTGAGAGAACCCCTGAGCTTTAGGGAGTCAGACTAGTTCTCTACCTGCCCAGGTTTGCTTAGGGCGTGGTGGCTGCGGATAAAGGCAGGACTCAGGCTAAGCGGCCCACTCTCCCGGAACCGATCCTCTGAGCAGCCTGGGAAGCACGCAGGTGAGGGGCTGGGGTCCTCTCCCTCTGACTCCTTGGCTCTGCCCCTCTCTCTACTGCTTTCTGTTCAAGACCCCTAGGACCTTCCCCCATCAAGGTCCTTCTCTGGGGGAGCAGATTACAGAACGCCTCCTGTCCCCATCAATCTCTGTACAGGGGGCTGGGTGAGCCAGCTGGGGTGAGGGTAAGGCCCACAGATGGGACAGGGTGTCCGGAAGACTGGTTGGTCTGGGTAGATCGGGGTGTCTGCATAGACCCCAGACTGGATTGGGGGATCAGAGGAGATGGGTGGATGATGGTGGACTCGGGGTGTCCTCATGTTGGGAATATGCGGGTCCTGAAGACCTCCAGGGAAAGGGGCTGGAGGCTTCCTGAGGAAGCTCTAAAACAGGGGGTTGGGGAGGAGATTTCAGCGACACGAGGGAGTCATTTTGCTCATGCCTGAAGGGCCTGGCTGCCATCATGGAGAAATAGAGGGACAGACAGTAGGGGGTGGATGGCGGAAACGGTCCTCCCACCACCACTGGGATCTCTGGGGTTGGGAGAGAGCAGAGAGGGGTGCGCTCAGCCTCCATTGCAGGCTACCTTCCTCTCTGAGTCTTCACCCCGAACACAGTCAGTTCTGGAGCAGCTGGGGAGACCTCTTTCCACAACAGCCTGAACAGGGCAAGGGAGGGCACATGCCCAGACGCCAGCCCCCAGCGGCCAGCAGTGTGGGACAGTCAGGTGGCAACGTGCAGGGGCCAAGGTGTGACTGAGACCACCCATCAGTGTCCCCTGTGCTGGGCATGCTGGGAGATTCGTGGGGATGGGGCCTACGGAGCCCCGGACTGGCCAGGGGGGTTTGGAGGCTCCCATGGAAAGAAGTTTAAGCCCCGAGACTCTGAGTCCTGAAAGACAGAATAGAGCATTAAACTCAATTCACAGGATTTCTAGGGTTGTGACAGCAACGTGGGCTAATCATAGTGCCAATTTCATCAAGCTGCGAAGATTATATGCATGAATAAGTGCAAAGAGCTGAGAAGTGTGCCCGGCGTGGGGTAAACACTCAATCAGACCAGCTCTTATCACCAGCATTAGTGTTACCATGGGGGGACAAAGCCTCATGTGTTCACTTTAGACAACAAGTGTCCTTCCGCAGACCTGAGCTGGGATCCCCTAAGCTGTGCTGCCCACACACCAAATCCAGCTCTGCCCCTGCCCCCTATTTGGGGGGGGGTCCTAAACCCCTTAATAATGTTTCCCAAAGTGATAGGCCCTTTCTTTGCAAGAAATGGATTTTCAGACTGACATTGTGGGTCTGGTAGAAAGGATGAAAGAGGAAACTAAGAGGGCTTCCCAGGTGGCTCAGTGGTAAAGAACCCATCTGCCAACGCCGGACACATGGATTCAATCCCTGGGCAGGGAAGATCCCCTGGAGAAGGAAATGGCAACTCTCTCCAGTATTCTTGCCTGGGAAATCCCATGGGCAGAAGAGCCTAGTGGGCTACGGTCATGGGGTTTGCAGAGTCGGACACGACCGAGCGACTGAGCACAAACACGAAGACGCTAAGAAGTTTCCCAGGATCTGGGGTGGGCACAGAAAGATAAAGGCATCTGTAGAACATTCTGGAAACAGAAAAAGAAACTCAGGGTAGGGGTTCTATGGAGGCTAAAGGAAGTAGTGGGGTGGGGGGTGGGGCTTCCCAGGTGGGTTAGCGGTCAAGAATCTGCCTGCCAAGCAAGAGATGCAGTTTCAATCTGGGTTGCAAAGATAACCTGGAGAAGGAAATGGCAACTCACTCCAGTATTCTTGCCTGGAAAATTCCATGGACTTAGGAGCCTGGCGGGCTACAGTCCATGGAGTGGCAGAGTCGGACACGACTGAACACGCAGAGAGAGAGATAAACAGGGCACTATCTCCAGGTGTGCGCAGGAGCAGAGCAGGGGATGGCAATGGGCTTCCTGCCAGGCTCAGGGGAGGCGGGGGGTATGCTTTGCCATCTGTGAAATGGGGTCTCCAGGATTCTTGGGAGGTTCCATGAGTGAAGACCCAGCAAGGTCGTTTGGCGGAGCCCAGCAGTGGGTGGATCTAAGTGTTAGCTCTTGCTATCAAGATTGGGACAAGCTATGCTGTGCTATGGCAGTGGGGCAGGGGTGGGGGAGGGGACAGGGGGACTCAAAGGGGACTACCAAGGGGACGGTGGAGTGTTCTTCGTGCTGGGCAGACCTACCTGAGGAAGGAGGAAGTGTGTGCTGCCCCAGGAGCTTGGTGGGAGCACAGGCAGGGACAGGGGTTGGAGCTGGGACTGGGGTAGAGACAGGACCCGAGGACCAGGGTGGGATGGACATGGGTGGGGCAGAAGCAGGATGGTGGGGTGCTGGCAGTGTGGGACAGAAGATAAGGCTGGGGCTGCAGCCAGGCGATTCTTTTCCAGGCCTGCCCCCTGCTCCTCCCTGAGTTCTCTCCAGCCCACATCCTGCCCTGAGCAGCCCAGGCCCCAGCCCAGGCTCCAGCCCTGGCCCAGCAAAGTCTGGGCAGGGCAGGCAGGCTCCAAACTGTCTGTGGGAGACATTCCCGGGGACCGGGCCTCCCGCCATCTGGCTCCCAATGCTCTACTCCCCACAACACCCCGAGGCCCTCAGAGAGTCAGCCAGGTCTGGTTTAAATTCCGCCTTCTGGCAAGGTGACCTCTCAAGCACCCACTTTCACCTCTGGAGCCTCAATGTCCCCATCTGTAAGATGGGGATAACGGTGGGCAGCACCTTCTTCATTTGGTATCCAGGGTGATTCGCTTAGAGCCTCCAGTCCACATCCAGTGAGTTATTATTGCTCCTCCCTCTTCCGGTCTGAGTTCTCACCCAGCCCCCAGTGCACTTTCCCACTCCTTATCTCTCAGCCCAGTGAGTTTCAAGGCCAGGCTTCCTGCCCTGGGGTGAGCTGTGTACCCTGGGTGGGGAGCAGAGTAGCAGGAGATTGGGAACCAGAGGCCTCCGGGGGGCCCTGCTGAAGCTGGTCGCTCTCCCCAGATCCCACCAGGCCAGCGATCGACATGCAAGAGGCGGTCCTGAGCCTGCTCATCCTTCTGGCAGGTGAGTGTCCATTCCTGGACTGCCTCTCCTCACATCCCCTCAGCTGGTTGGTGACCATGTATGCGTGTTACTCTCATGCTTTCTGCCTCCCCCGTGGGGTGGGGAGCTTCAAGACAGTATCTCCTAGAGGGTAGGGTGTGTCACACTGGTGATTTCAAGGGACATATAAAGGAGGACCTCTTACAGCCAAGGCTTACACAGCTCATCATCGTCTTGATGTCTCCTTGATGACATCTTGGAGAAGGCTCGGCCCTGGGCTACCATATCTTTAACACTCCTAAACACTTTATTACGAGTGGGAAGAGCTTCGTGGTTATGTGGCAATTACCAAAAACCCCTTGGGCCTCAGTTTCCCCATCTGGACAATAGCAGCACCTACTCAGAGAGTCACTATGAGGATTAAACCAGAGTTACAATATGCAGAGCACTAAGGGTAGTGCCTGGGACAGAATAAGCACCATGTGTCTATGCTTTAAATATAATTTAAAAAATATGAATATCCCTTTAACAAAGGGTGAATAGAGCTTAGGCCCAAAGCTAAACAGCTGACTGCTTCTAGCCAGAATTCAGCCCTAGTCTTTTGCTTTCATTGTCTTTGTTTTTATCCATTATATCAAGCAAGACTGGTATTCCATTCAGGATAGTGATGTAAAGTTCTTTTTAAAATAAAGTGTATTAAGTTTATTAAGTTTAAGGTGTATGGAGTTTATTAAGCTCCAATACTCTCGGCCACCTGATGCAAAGAAAATATCCTGAGGCTGGGAAAGATTGAGGGCAGGAGGAGACAGGGGCGACAGAGGATGAGATGGTGGGATGGCATTACTGACTCAATGGACACAAGTTTGAGCAAATTCAGGGAGATGGTGAAGGACAGGGAAGCCTAGTGTGCTGCAGTCCATGGGGTCGCAAAGAGTTGGACACGACGTAGCAACTGAACAACAAATTAAGTTCATAATTAGTAAGTCACTTTCAGGGAAATGGGGGTTGGGATGTGGATGTGGCAGACCCAGGAGATGAGGGCTGAGAACACCTGGGAGTGGAAGCCATCTGCCATCCCCACGAGACTCTCGCTTGTTTCTACAGGGGGTGTGGGTTAGTCAGGTGTCTGCAACATCAGGTCAAAGGCTGACTAGCTGATCAAAAGCCACCCAGATGAAAACCTACTTCAGGGGTGGGGCTGAGTGGGAGAAACCCTCACTTTCAAGGTGGAATGTGCAGAGAAAACTAGTTTGGGGTTGAAACCCTGTGCCCTCAAGAGGTGAGGAACTGTCCATCAGGGGACCCTTTGCTGAGGCCAAGGGTTCCATGGCCTTGCTCCCAGCTTTGCCGAAGCCAGCACCTCCATCTCTCTCCTTCCCTGCTTCTCCCCACCAGGCTTGCCTGCCCTGGACGCCAACGACCCAGAAGGTGAGCCAGACTGACTCCTCCACTAGTCCACCTCCAAAGTCTCCCCGACGAGCCCTGCATCCCAGCTCTCGTCCTGGATTCATGTTCTTTATTTTTTTCCTTGCAGATAAAAACAGTCCTTTCTACTATGGTGAGAGCCCCTGCCCCTCACTTTGCATTCTCCACCCACCTCTCATATCTATTTTGTGCCAAGGGTCCCACACAGGTCAGATGAGGGTCTGATGGGGGTGACCTCGGGGGTGAGACTAATGGTATACTGTTCAATGCCCCAGTTGAAGAGTAAAAACAATGGATCAAGGGAATAAGATGTGCCAGTCTGGTCCTTGGGACTCCCCACATTTTCTTCCACATAGCTCCACACTCCCTCCCTCCGCTCCTCAGGTCTCTATTCAAATGTGCCCTTTTGGAGGAGTCTTCCCTGGCCACTCTCCCTCAAAGATCTCCCCTCTGACTTTCTGTCTCCTGGACCTGCTTATTTGTCTTCAGACCTCTTCTCTCTACCTGATACCACATTAAATCTCTGTTGCTTGCTGTGTGCAAACTGGAAAGTTAGCACAGAGGGCTGGGGGAGCCATCCATTCTCTCCACTGCTATAACCCACGTGAGAGGTGCCCAAGGGATATTGTCAAGTAGCTGAGGGCTCAGATGGGGAAGACATGGGCTGGCACCAAGGGCCCCCTCTGGGTTTCTCCTAGACTGGTATGGCCTCCGGGTCGGCGGGCTCATCTTCGCAGGGATTCTGTGTGCCATGGGCATCATTGTCCTCATGAGTGAGTGCAGGGGCTGGTGGGGTGGCGGGCGGGGCAGGGTAGGGCTGGTGGTGTCCTCCCCTGACATTCCCCTCCCCCTAACAGGTGGGAAATGCAAATGCAAGTTCCGACAGAAGCCCAGGTAAGATGGGTTCCTGGCAGCGTGGCTGCCTCATGCTGGAGATGCCTTTCTGGGGTAAAGAGCTAAATCTCACAGCAAAAAGCCAGGCCTCCAGATCCTGCCCTGGAAAATTCCTGTCCTAAGATTTTTCCAGGTTCATTCTTCAGAGCCATGAATCTTCAAAGGGCCTCAAATCCTGAAATGCTTTTGGTCCCTGGGACGGTATAACCCTGTGAAAAAATAGCTAGGGAGCTACATCAGGGCAAGCTGAGACTCCTCTAGCCATGAGGGAGAGGAGAAACAGGAGGGATCAGAGATCTCACCGCTTTTCTTTCCCTAGCCACCGTTCAGGAGATGCCCCACCTCTCATCACTCCAGGTAAGACAGGGACAGAGTAGGCTGAGAGGGACATGGTGGGGTAGCGGGGAGATGGGGTGTGTGTGTGTATGGAGGCACCCTGGGGAGAAATAACTTGATCCACTCTCAAGCTGACCCTGTCACCTCTCCCAGGCTCCGCCCAAAACTGTTGAGAATGGATCAGCAGAAAGAGCTCCAAGGACTACTCTTCCCCCAAGTCCTGGCTCTGCAAGGGAGCCTGAACTCCAGGATGGAATTCTCCACTCCCTCCTCAGACTGCCTGGCCAGGGCTCCATCTCACCTCTCCCTGGAGGGGTCTTGGTTCAGTTTTTACTTTAAAATGATTTTGCCTCATACCCAAGCAGCCTGGAGACTTCCTATATTTGCATTGGGGCTTGTGGTGGGAAGGGCAGAAGGTTGATGTTCATGGGGGCTGGCACGGAAGCTGGCAGCTGAATCTCTTCACTGGAATGAGACCACAAGCTTGCTTCCACATGACCTGGTGGATGGCATGGGGCCTGACCTCTGCCTCTGTGGCCATGGGAACCACACATGCAATTTAAAATGCTCTACTTGGGGGATATTTTTGAGAGTGAAAGGGAGCTCCAGCCAGATGGAATACTGGACCCTGGGACCATCCCAGGAAAGCTAGGATGTGGAATGATCCCAGTACCCCGGAGTACCCAGATAACTTATGATTATAGTAGTGAGGCCCTATGACCCTCCCAGAGAAGGAAATAGCAACCCACTCCAGTATTCTTGCCTAGAGAATCCTGTGGACAGAGGAGCCTGGTGGGCTGCTGTCCATAGGGTCACACAGAGTGGGACATGACTGAAGTGACTTAGCAAGCATGCATGCATGACTCTCCCACTCACCTCAGATCCCATTTCATTATAAAAGATGCCTCCTCACACCCAAATGTTCCTATGAGACCTTTAAATTATTCCCCACAATATCCCTAATAAAATGTAATGGCTACATGGTGTGAGAACCTCCAACCAGGCTGGAACTCCCTTACACAGTCTCCAATACCCAATAAGACTTTCAAAAAGTTCCCAAGAGCCACAAAAATGCCTAAAACCCTTCAAAACACCTCCAAATATCTCCTGGGACACACAGACCAACAATAAACCTATGACCTAACCCCCTAACAATGCCTTTATATCCCCTGAACACCCCACAAGGCCCCCCCATATGAGCCCACACTCCTCAGAGACCTCGTGAAAGCTCACCAAGAGCAGCCAGAATGCACCCTGGGACACCTCCCCTCTCCTTAATACAGCTCTTGGGATACTACTCTTCCTCCCCTACCCCAACCCCATGCCACAGGAGACACCTTCTCCCAATAACCCCACAACAACCGGTGGGGAAGGTGCACAGCGCGTTTATTGAGCCCATGCACTTTCCGTCTGCGATCGTGTCACCGACCCAGGAGAGGCACCCCTGGCTCCCGGCTAAAACTCACTCTTTCCCACCTATTCCCCGCGCACGCGCAAGAGGAACAACACGCTGAGCTTCCGCCTGGCAGCAGGCGTGCGCACAAGCAGTAAGGAAGTTAGCAGGCCCGGCAGGGAAAACCGCCCAGCGACTGATGACGTCATGAAGGCGGGCACTAAAAGCGATTGGCCGGATTGAGTTTAGAAGGAAAAGGAAAGCTATCGCCTTCTCAGTACTTTTACAGGGAACAGAAGGGGTGGGAGTGGGTTGAGGTGGACTTTTCTAGACCTCATGGAGCTCTTCACGTTACCCTCCCACCATGATTTGTCTACCGGCTCCATGCAGCGGTCCCCCAGCCTGAGCCCCCAAGTCATCTTTGATGGGGGTCATCTCCTGGGTGTCATCTCCCAGGCAAGATGTTGCTTAAGACTGAAAGGGCAGCTCTTGCCTCGAACTTGGCTTGTGGTCAGCATCTCACAGGACCAACTGTCACTTCTGAGTCGGGTCAGGAGGCCAGTAAAGGGGACATCCTGAAGCCCAGGAATCCCCATGCCAGCCCCCTGCGGGCCATGTCCAGCGTCCCTTCCAGCCTCAGGCACTGAGGTCTAACTCATGATGCTGGTAGATCTGTGTGGGGCCCTTGAAGCAAGCAGCGAAGAGGAAGCGTCTGCCGGCCATGGTGATGTGGGCAAAGGCCCGAGGGGCCACTATTGCCGGGGGCCCCAACTCCTGCAGTGGTTCCAGGAGCCCCTTGTCAGGCTCAAGGCGGAAAACCTGGCTGAAGGCGAAGTCACTGCCCAGGATGGCCAGCTGGTCCTTGGCAATGAGCAGTGGCTGGAAGACGTGGGCACCTCGAGAGGGAAGTTTCTGCAGCAGGCGAAACATGGAGCCATCCCAGCGCATGACCTGTGGGAGGGGGGCCACTCATTAGGGCTGGGGTCCCCAGGGCCATGCCTGCCTATCAGTGATCCCCTAGGCTCCAGCGGACTTGGAATAGCTCAGGAACAGAGGCCTGTAAGTCCACAAACTCCCACAGCTTTCTCATCTTTCTAAATGTCACCAACCAGCTGCTCAGCCCACAGACTTGGAGTCACCCTGGACCCTTCTCTCTCCTTCAGCCCCACATAGAATCAGTCAGTCCTGGAGTCAGTTTCACCTATGATGGTATGCACTTTCCCCTTCTCTGGCCACACTCCAGCCCAACCACAGTCACTTGCCTCCTGGACCATCACATAACCTCCTCCCTGCTCTTCTTGGTCTCCTTGTTCCTGCCCCTGTGCCCACAGTCTGCTCCCCACACAGACATCCTGTGAGCCCCTGAGTCATATCAGTGCCTTTCAGGCTCAAAGCCCTGCCTGTGGCTGTATCTCGCTCCAGAGAGTGCTGGAGGGAGAGGGCCATCAGCCCTGGGGGTTCAGGGTGTGGTGGCTGTGGTTAAATGTAAGTCCTGGGGACTTCCCTGGTGGCACAGTGGATAAGAATCCACCTGCCAAGGCAAGAGACATGGGTTCAACCCCTCGTCTGGGAAGATTCCACACACTGTGGAGCAATTAAGCCTGCAAGCCACAACTACTGAGCCCATGAGCCACAAATATTGAGTATGTGTGCCCCACTACTGAAGTCCATGCTCCTAGAGCCTGTGCTCTGCAACAAGAGAAGCCACTGCAATAAGAAGCCTGTGCACTGCAATGAAGACCAGCCCCTGTTCGCCACAACTAGAGAAAGCCTGAGCAAAAAGCAACGAAGACCCAGAACAGCCATAAATAAAAACTTAAGAAAAAAATGTAGGTACTAGAGTGTGTCAGTTTGGTAGTAGAATCAGAATCTTAGGGCCGGTGTCAGTTTTGGGAGATGGAGAGTGGTTTAGGGTCAAAGGTCCATCTAGTCAAAGCTATGGTTTTTCCAGTAGTCATATATGGATGTGAGAGTTGGATCATAAAGAAGGCTGAGCACCAAATAATTGATGCTTTCGAACTGTGGCACTGGAGAAGACTCTTGAGTGTCCCTTGCACAGCAAGGAGATCAAACCTGTCGATCCTAAAGGAAATCAACCCTAAATACTCATTGGAAGGACTGATGCTGAAGCTGAAACTCCAAAACTCTGGCCACCTGATGTGAGGAGCTGACTCACTGGAAAAGACCCTGATGCTGGGAAAGATTGAGGGCAGGAGGAGAAGGGGACGACAGAGGATGAGATGGTTGGATGGCATCACTGAATCAATGGACATGAGTTTGAGCGAACTCCAGGAGATAGTGAATGACAGGGAAGCCTGGCGTGCTGCGGTCCATGGGTTTGCAAAGAGTCGGACACGACTGAGTAACCAAACAGCAACAGTCTTGAGGGATCACAGTCTTGGAGTTTGCATTGGGATAGGGTCAGAGCTCAAAGATCAGCATATTAGGAAGGTCAGCTGTCAGGCAGGTCAGCCTTCAGAGGCCAGTGTGTGATATTGGGTCAGTGCTTGAGAGGCCAGCCTGGAGTGGGAGTGAGTTCCTGCCAGTCAGGTGGGGCCTGTGCCCACCCCGCAGGACTGTGCCCAACCTCACCATGGAGTCCCCGATGTAGCGTGTTAGGCACAGGAACACGTCCCCGCCAGCCTGGAAGTGGCGCGTGGCATAGACGTCCTCAGCCTCTGGGATGTCCGTCCGCCGCTCAAAGCGGCCCCCGAACCAGTGGAAGAGCACGGGCCGCTGCGAGGCAGAGGCCAGCAGCAGATGGGGCCGGCCATCCAGTTCGAGGGCCTCGACGTCCGTGTCCCGGTGCCAGGCATGCAGGCTCTGGCGCGGGTAGAAGCCGGGCCCGTCCCGGCACAGCAGTGTCGTGCTGCCTGCCTTGGAGGCATCGGCCACCACGAAGCAGGGCTGCCCCTCCAGCCACAGGAGCTCGGCATCATTGGGCCGCAGCAGCCGCCGTGGGGCCAGGGCCTGCAGCGGGGCCAGGCGCAGGTCGGGGCCGGGCCGGGCCCACAGCTGTGAGCCTCCCCACAGGCGGGCGGCCAGCATGAAGAGGCGGGGGCCCAGCACCAGCGGCTTGCAGGACACCACCGAGGGTGCTGTGGGGAGCAGGGGGACAGGGGGCCCTGTTAGACCAGCTGGGCAGGCTACCTGGCAGGCGGGAGGATGGGAGGGAGCTTACCAGACAGCTCCTCCTCCTGACGGAAGCGCTGCAGGCTGTAGTCCCAGGCCAGGATCAGGCAGCGGCCGGCAAAGGGCTGTGCCAGGACAATGTAGGGCTCCTCCTGGTAGGAGAAAGCCTCTACACCTAGCGCTGACTCTCCCACTGTCTGGAACCAGGACAGCTCTGGAGGTGGGGGGAGGGAGAGAGTCAGACAGGCCAGGGGGACCCCCAAGGGTCCGCATCACCTAGCCTCAGCTTGCGCATCTTTGCAGTGAGGACTGCCATGGTGCTGACTTCATGGGGATGCATGGTGGAAACTTTTTATCTATGGACATATTAACTCACAACCACACGGTGATACTCTTATTTTCTAAGCTGCATGGCATCATCAAATAATTAGAAACAGCACCTTCATCATTCATTTAACTTCACAAGATCCCTGTGGGGTATAGTTTGTTATTATATCCACTTTGCAGAGGAGGAAACTGAGGCACAGGCAGCCAGGTGTCCAGCCAAGTCCATCCTTCCTGTTTTCCATCACACAGGGTTGCATCTGGCCACAAAGCCACCCAATCAGAGGCCGTTAGCCCAGCACTGCCCCCACGCCACCTCCTGACACGTGGCCATGAACCAGAGCAGAGTGATGGTTCTAGTGCTCGCCCTGTTTCTAGGAGGACGGCTTGTCCTGGACTAGGTCCCTTCCCCCACTCCTGTGAACTGGCAGGTGGATGGGATCACGACTCGGTTTCAACCATGGAAAGCAGGATAACACCCAGGGGCTGCCCCACTGGCCTGAACTGCTCACCTCAGACCCTTCTGTTTTCTTTGTTTCATGGTATTTAGAACCTCTCTATTACAGCAACTTAGCATTGACGGTAACGATGCACCCAGATTGCCCAGTGTGGTGGCGGTGGCCTCCAGCTGACAACAGTTCATTCTACATGCCAGGACCTACTTCTAGAGGCCTGGGTTGGATCAACGAACCAAACAGCTAAGGATGCCCATCCAAAGGGGATCTTTTAAAAAATGGCCATCAAATCGTGTCACTCTCTGCTCAAAACCCTCCCTCTGTGGCTTCCCACAGTCCTCTGGATAAAGTCCACCTTCTTCTCTGTGACTTTCGAAGTTCTGCAGAGTGAGGCCCTTGCAGGTGAGACACCTCATCTGTGTCCTTCCCTTCCTCACTCCTCCAGGCCAGCCCTTCCTCCTTCCATCCTCAGTCAGGACAAGCTCTGTGATGCCTTGCGGGATTCACTGCACATGCTGACCCCATCCTCTGTCCTCCACTTCGCTACAGCCACAGCTGGTGCTACCTCTTTGGAGAAGGCTTCTCCGATGCCCCAGGAAAGGTAGGACCACCCCCTAAACTCCCTTATCATCCTCTGTGTTTATCATAACGGGTACCATACATTTACTGAGCAATGTTTTATTTAATGTCTGACTCCCCACCTCCAGGCCTGTGACCCCGTGAGGCAAAGGCCCTGGGTTCTCTTGGTCACCACAGCGTGCGCATGGCCTCTCACAGAGCTGGGCACCAAGTGGACCTCAGTCGGTGTTTGTTGAATAACTGAACCAAGAGTGACTCAGTTAAATTTCCTTGTTCTATGAATTCTGAAGACCAAAAACTTGTCTTACATTTTGAGGAGGATGATGTTAGTAATGATCTTCAGGTCTGAACTCAAAGTTTCACTCCTTCCAGACCCTCCAGCTATGCCTGGCCCCCACTCTGGCTCGGGGCTCCCACATCTCCATGGGATCTCCCCCCCACCAATCCTGGCCCTGACCCTTCTTACCCCCATCTCAGCTCTGGTCACTCTAGGCCAGCCCTCTCTGCCTGCCTCTGGCCATGGCCTCTGTGAGGACAAGACCCAGGGCTGGCTTCATCACTCCTGTGCTCTCTGCTTTGCCCAGTACCCATAAAGGTACCAGAATATGTTTGCGGAAAAGCAAAGTGATCGGAGGAATTATTTTTTACATGGTCAGTTTCATATTAATAACAACAACAATGAGAATGAACACTTATGAGGGCCTCCCCTCCCAGGCCTCATGCCAAGGACATCACTGAACTCTCCTGCAGGAGTCCTGTGTCACGGTGTATTACCCCTATTCACAGGTAAGAAAACTGAGGCTCGGGGAGATGCTTGCTCAGCAGACTCTCAGCCAGGAACTGGCAGGGCAGGGAGGGAGGTGAGCCCCCTCAGCCCTGGCCGCCCCTGCTGTCCCTCCCACCCCGCCGGGAAAGCCCCCACCTATGGCTCTGCACTTGAACGTCTTGGGGTCCACGTGGCGGAGCTGCATGTGGGCCAGGGCGGCGGGGCCGGCGCAGGCCCCGGTCCCCACGCTGGCGTTCACGGTGGGGATCCACTGCAGCAGCCAGAGCACGCGGCAGTCACACTGGAACGGGTTCCCGCGGAGGTCCCTGGGGCAAGAGGCCGGGGAGGGGCTGCGACCCGGCTTCCAACCCGCTGGGGGCCATACTCCCCGCCCCTCCCCAGGCAAGGGCTCAGGATAGGGCCCCACCATGGTGTGGAAACTATGTAAAAACCATCGCAGTCATACTCACTTGTGCCAACCAGGAGTGGGAACAGACGACCCCTTCCCCCACCCACACATTCCCCAATCCCCCCAACCCTCCCAGTCCCCTTGGGCCTCACACATGAGTCAGGGTCTCCAGGCCCCGGAACAGGAACCTGGGGAGGGTCTCGAGATGGTTATTGGCCAGACTCCTGGTGGAGGGAGAGAAGGAGAAGCCATCAGCAGCTCCTAGGATGATGCCAGGGTGATGGGTGTGGGGTGCCTCCCAGGGTGGGCTGGGGCAGTGGAAGCACGTACAGATGTGTGAGTGAGCGAAGTCCTCTGAGGGCGTTCTTAGAGATGGAACCAATTTCATTGTCCTCAATAAAGCTGTGGAGGGAAGATGGGGTCAGGGGGAGGTCCCCCAGTTCCCTGCTATAGCCCCACAGTGGTTGGGGAACTCGCCCCATGGTAGCCACAGGTCATGGCAACATGTGGAATTCTCTCCCAACACCTTGCATAATCCCAGGGAAAAACCTCCCAGGAGCCTCTCTCTTCACCAAGGTCCCAGCCTGCAATCCCAGGAGCGAAGAACCTGACCCTATGGTCCTTGCCAGCCTTACCAGGAACCATCACCACCACAGCCACCATGACCAACACCAGTACTAACACCAATATGACCACTCATACCTGCACCATCATCTGTTATGTCTAATGCCTCTACCACCGTCATCAACCCCAGTACCAAAAACTGCCATCATCACCAACTACATACCACACCACCACCATCACCAACACCAACATCATCCACTATTCCCATCATCAATACCAACATCAATAGCATAATCATCCGGCCTCACAGCAGGGGTGACACTGATAAGCATCATCACCAAGAATACATCCTTCATAATAAACACCAAAACCACTGCCACCATCACCACCAACACTGCCACCATTATCACGAGCACCAGCATTGCCAGTCCCAACATCACCATTACCCTCAGCGCTCACATCATCACCTGCCATCAGCACCACTACTGCCACAATTTCTGCACGTACATCTACCTTTACCATCACCGCCAAACCCAGAACCAACAACACTGCCATAACACCAACATCCTACCCTAAACCACTGCCACCACCAACACCAATATCATAATCACCAACATCCACAGCACTGATAATTATTACTAACCCCAAACCTTCAGACTTCATCATCAGTGTCCATCTGATGGTCCAAGAGCACCATCACCATTGGGTCCACCATTTTTATCAAAATCATCCCTACTCCATCATCCTCAATAATGCCACCACTTCCCTGTGAGCACCATCCCCATTATCATCACCGCCAACATTACCGCTGGTGTTGTCATGCCGTCAACACCACCACCACCACATCAGTACCACCATCACCAACTAACTCAGAGTCTCTGCCTCTTAATTTGAAACATTTCCTTATCTCTGGCCTCTTTGTACCCTGCCCGGTCTCCTGAAAGTCAGGTAGGACCAGAAACAATCATGGGTTACCCAGGACTTTGTGCATCTTGAAACAGAGAGGGCGGTGGAGGCAGGCTGAGATTACACAGCTGAGCAGGAGCCCCAACCCCACTCAAGAGGCCGGCCGTCTTGCCCCTCCGAGGCGATCCCTTGTCCAGCACTTCCTCCCCAGGGCAACAAGCTCCTCCCTTCCCCCCACTCTAGGAGCCACGGAGGGGTGCCTCCTTCCTCTCCCAGGCCCCCATTCCTGCCCCCCTCTCCTGGCCTCACTCACAGGTACTGCAGGTGGGATAGGCCCGCAAACGCATCATCCTCAATCACGGAGAAGGAGTTGGATGTGAAGAGGCTGGCAAGGAGGTAAGAGAGAAATTTTTCCAGAGTCATTGCTCCCTACCTGACATGTTAACCTTGGCTCCCCGCAACCCCAGCCCATTTGGGCATGATCACACACACAGGCATGCAGTGTGAGGATGTGGATCACACAGATATTTTCACAGACATGCACAAACACATAAGTGTGCACACTCGGCCCCCCCCACATGCATGTGCATGGACAGCACCCCCCCCCGGAAGTCTTCACTCAGCCGGACCCCACTCACAGCAGGTGCAGTGACGGCACCCTCAGGAAGCTGCCGGCCTTCAGCTGGGAGATTCGGGTCCTAACGAATGAGCTGGGGACGTGGGCAATGGTGGGTGAGGAGAAAACCGCTCCAGTGCGCCACTCCCATCCCAGAGCCGGCTCCTGTCCGAGGGGGGCAGGAGGGAACCTGACCCTGGGTGTGTGTATTTCCCCTGCATTCCAGGGGAGACGGGCAATTGCCCTCCTCGCTTGGCAAGGATCCTGGCAGCACTCTGCGCACCCCATGGTTCTCCCTCCCCCCAGCCCCCCCCCCCCCAAGATGCCTCTGCCCTCTGGAATTCCCATCCCCACTCCTGCTCCCTTTCAAATCCCAGTAGCCCCCTCCCAGGACTCCCGACATCCTTTGCTGCCCCCTCCCAAGATCCTGATGGGCCCTCCAGCTCCCCGGGGTCCCATCCCCAGCCTCAGGCCCTCAGAGGGCTGACACTCACAGCGACAGCAGGGTCGAGGAGAGGATCTCGGGCAGGTCCTCGGAGCCCTCACACAGAGCACTGTCTTTGGAGCAGGAGCAACTCAGAGGACACTTTCCCTTTGGGGGTCTCCAGGCCTCCCCCACCCCCAGCCCAACCAGCAGCAGCAGTAGCAGAATTCCCGCCCCTCCCATGCCCCCTGACCCCTGCCGAGGCAGCGGCTTCTCTCTGCCCTCCCAGCTCGGCCCAGGTCTTGGCCACTACATCTCCCATGCCAAGCGACCCTCCATGCCGCCAGCTGGCACGCTCTGCCCCGGCTTCTCTCTCCTCTTTCTCAGTCTCTCTTCAGCCTGTCTTTCTCCCTCTATGTCTTCAGTGTCTAAATTTCTGTTTATGCCTTTTTCCCTGTCTTGGTGTCTCTCCTTTTCAGTATTTCTGACTCTGTTAGTCCGTTTCCCACTCTCCACCTCTGTCTATCTGAGTTGTCTTTCTCTTTCTCTTTTTCTCTGTCTCTGTCTGTCTGTTGGCCTCTCCTGTGTGTGTGTGTGTGTGTGTGTGTGTGTGTGTGTCTGGTGTCTTTATTTCTGTCCCTCTGCACCCCCCCACTTCCAGCTCCCTGGAAGTTTCTTCCCCTCCTCCCACGTCCCTTTTCCCGGGAGGTTTGGGAAAGGGACTCTCTGGGCACCGGGTGCTCGAGGCAAAGCAGGAAAAGGAGGCGGCGGGGGTCAGAGGCCATAGGAAGAGCAGCCCCTGGGGAAGGGGCCGGAGGGCCCCATGGGAGGGGAGGGGCCACTGGGGGCTGAGCTGCCCTGGCTCCTCCCAGCCAGCCCCCTCCCCAGACACCCCACTCCACTCCACTCACGGAGGGTGAGAAGGATGTCACCAGGGTGGGGACCGGATGGCTCTGTCGGCAGGAGGGGCAGTGGAAGGAGAGACCCCTAGGGGCTGGAGCCGTCCAGGCCACTCCCAGCCAGCCCCCTCCCCTGGCTCCAGGAGGGTGTGGTGGGCGCTGGCCCTGAGGCTTCAAGGGACCAGCTCAGGTCCAGCTGCTCCCTCTGGTGGCGATGCTCGGCAGGACAGCCACCCTGCTCCAAACCCACAACCTCTCTTGCCCCTCCCGGAGTTAACCCCTTGAGTGCCCACCACCCACTAGGGGTAGGGAGTCAAACCGAGGAAAAAAAGGATGAGGATGCCACCCCTTTCTTTAATATTGACTCTGTACCACGCCCTGTCCTACCAGTTCATCTGTTAGCTCATGCTGCCTCACTACAACCTTCTGAGGCTGAGACGATCATACGGCTATTTTACAGATGGAAATACTGAGGAGAGGGGTCCAGTCATTTGCGATCTAGGTTATCTAAGTGGGGCAAAGCCAGGGAGCAAGCCCAGGCAGCTGGCTCTGTGGCCTCTCTTCCTTTGGAGGTCAGAACCTATGGATATTGGCTGTTTTCATTTTGGACCAAGCTTTTTAGCAGTCTGGATAGATTCTATCCATTAAATTAAAAAAGGAAATAAATGGCCCCTGTTACTCAACAAGCAATGTGAAATAGCAGTAATAATGCTCATTGAGAGCTTGCTGTGCATCAGTCTTGACACAAATTTACTCAGCTCTTCCCCCCACCCCACCCCTCCCCCGCCAACAGCCTGTGAGGTGGGTAGTATTACTAACCCCCACTTTACAGATGGGAAAACTAAGGCATGAAGAGAACACAGCCTCTGTTGGCACTGCTGCACACACCCAGAACCCTTGGAGGACAAGGGGCTTAGCAGCATCTGCTTTGGCGAGGCCACTCAGATCTGGGCCCCTAATCCTTAGTTTGCCCATCTGTCAAATGGGGCAGTTGTGGCACCTACTTCTCAGATGTGTGAGAATTCAGGGAGAGGACAGAGAGGGTTTAGAGCAAAGTGGGCACCCAACAGGTTGGGGTGAATTTTGGACCAAGCACTTATCCAGCACCCGAGGAGCTCTGTGATTTGAGCAAGGCCCTTCAAGTCTCTGGTACTTCAGATGTAAAGCAAGGATGAGAAACTTCTTTACAGGGTCTATGAAAAGCTAAATAAAGAACTTAGGGCCAGGGACACAGAGTAAAGACAGACAGGCTTAAATCCATACTCACTGAGTTTCAGCGCAGCTGGGTTCTTACTCCTGTTTACGATAAGAAGAATCACAAGGATGATGACTGTGAGAGCTTTTTTTTTTTTTTTTCTTTTATGGATCACTTACTGTGTGCCAGACTTAACTGTGTTCTAAATGTTTTCCATGGGTCATTTCAGATAATCATCCGGACCACCCTCCGGATATATAAGAGTCGAATACACTTATTATTTTCATTTTACAGAAGGAGAAACTGAGCCACAGAGAAGTTAAGTCATTGGTCCATCACCAGCTAGAAGGCGGCAGGGCCTCTCCTCTCTGGAGCAGCTGGTTCTGAGAGGGGAGGAAACAGGGCGCTGGCTAGAGCTGGCCAGGTGTCCTCTCGCCCCCTGTCCCCCTGACTCCTCTACCACCCCTCCCCAAGGCTATGTAAACATCAGGGTTATCATTAACCGGGGCTGCTGGTGACCCTGGGATACAGGGCCATCAGGGGCAGAGGCCCAGACAGATGAGGATGAGGGAGCTTTTTGAGGCTGCCAGGGTCCTGTGAGGCCACGTGCACATGCGCACATGCATGCGTGTGTGTATTTGTGTGTGTGTGTGAGGGCCACTTGTGCCTGAGTGTGAGTACATCTACCTGCTGCTGATCTGTGTCCTGCAGAGTGAGGTACCTGAGCCCAGGTCTCCTTCAGGCAAGGGCAATTTCTACCCTTAACCACCAGAGGGACCTTGGGAGAAGGATCTGCACTTTGCTAACCCTTGGTTTGCAGATCTCTAAAATGGGGTTAATAATAAGACAAGGTCGGGTTCAGAGACCTCTGAGCCTGGCCCAGAGTGATACGTGTGGTCTTAGTGACGTCTCCTTTCTGTAGGATGGGAAACCGAGGCACGGAATAGTCTCTTGGACTGCTCAAGCTCTCTCACTCCACAGGGAATGGCAGAGTCCAGAGCTGGTCCCCGATTTCTCGGTTACCAGAGCCTGTGAGCCCAGCCCGCCCGTGAAGATGCCAGGTGCGATGTCCTCCACGGGGTTCTGGGGTGCCACAGGAGCTCAGGGACAGGTTGGTTTGGGGCTAAACAGATCAACGCAGATTTGATGGTGTCTCCAAGTGTATGAACACAGTGCGTCAGCCTGTACGCGTGTCACTGTGTGGCCAGCGGCGTGCCTGTTTGCCCATGCATGAGGATGTGAACACAAACATCTGTGTGTGTGTGTGTCTGTTTTCATGGTTATGAAACCACAGCGTGGCTGCTTGTATGGCTGTGTCCTTGACAGTGTTTCTGCTTCTGTGAGCCCACATAAATATGTGTGTGTGTGTATGTGTGTGTGTGTGTGTACAAATGGACGGAGTTTGTGTGCCTTCACATGCCTGAGATTGTGTAGGAGTGCTGACCTTAAGCCCAGGCTGGGCCCAGTTCCTAGGGAGCAGTGCAGAATCATTGGCACCCACCCTCTCACCCTAGCTCAGAAGCTGTAGCACGCCTTTGAATATATTCAAGTGTAGTGTGTGCGCATTGGTGTATTCCTGTACAGACAGTGTGTATCTTTGTGACCATTTGTAAGTATGCTTAAAGCTGTGTGGCCAGCTGGGTCTTTGATTGTGTCTCTGTAGGGGCACCACCTTAGTGAATATGTATGTGTTGTGTGTGTATACAGATGTGTCTGTCCTGATATTTTGTGACTGGTGTAAGAAGTGCTGGTGTGTGTGTGTGTCTTTGGGCTTCTCCCTGAATGTGTAATTCTGAGTTTGTATTTATATACAAGTATTTGTCTTGTTTTGTGCCTGTTTATCTGGGTCTTTCGGTTTCTGTGTGTGTGTGTGTGTGTGTGTGTGTGTGTGTGTGTATCCATGCGAGACCTCACAGTCAGCAGCAGACAAGTTACTCAGACACTGAAATGCCCCCCTACAGTCCTGTGGTGCTGATGAGGGCCCTGCAGGGCACCGGGGTCAAGGGTCAGTGGACTTCTAAGCTCTTAGGCCAGGTGACCTTAAGCCCAGGCTGGGCCCAGTTCCTAGGGAGCAGCACAGAAAATCATTGACACCCATCCTCTCATCCTAGTTCAGAAGCTCTCTGAGCTGTTTGTGAGGCTGGTGTGTGTGTGTGTGTGTGTGTGTGTGTGTGTGCCTGCCTGTAATCCAGCCTGCCTGCCAGCACCTCCTCTCCCCAGCTTTCCCCACCGCTGACTGCCTACTGTTCCTCCCTCCGAGCTGAGAGAGTTAACCTAGCGGGCCAGGGCGGTCTGGGCTGGGGGCCGCCCCCTGGCCCCCCTCCAGCCCGGCTCCAGTTACAGCCTCGGGTTGGGGAGGGTAGGGGTGGGGTGGGGCCGGGAGGGGAGACCGCTGAGGGCAGCGCGGCCAGCTCTGGGCCAGGGGGTCCAAAGTGCTCAGCCCCGGGGCACAGCCGGACGTTTGGGGGCCTTCTTTCGGCAGGGGACAGTCTGACTGGGGTGAGCGTCCCCCGCCCCTCCCCTCCAGGGCCTCACCCCTGGCCTGGCTGGGCCGCCTATTTTGGGAGCAGGAGCCGCTTCCCAGGCAGGCCAGACCCAAGAGGAAGGGAGTGTGGTTGGGACGTTGGGGTTCCCTCAGGGGTGGAAGTGTGGGTGCAGCGCCGCCCTGCCCCTGCTGTGGCGCGTGCACACTGGCTGGGTGTGGGTTTCGCACACTCATGTGTGTAGGTCGGGTTGCGTCACTGATTGAGGACACCGGAGGCCCAGATGGGGACGAATGTGTGCCTGTGTCTCCACCCCACGCCTTGCTCCAACCAGAAGTTTGGGGAGCGGGCGTCGTCCCCATTGCAGCCCCACTGTGCGTCTGTGTGCATGTGCGCATGCGTGCATCGTCCCCGCCCCTGGCATCTGTCTTCTCTCTCAGCCCCACCGGCCTGGGCCTCCTGTCACTCGCCTGGTGCTGTCCGCTGGTGAAAGATGTCACCCAGAGGCAGGCCAAGGGATGTTTTCCCTGTTTTCATTGCTTCCAGAAGAGGAGAAGGGGTGGCCTTTCCCACGGGGGCAGCTGGTGGCAGTGTGGAAGCCCGGCCTCACCCGGGCAGGGTTGTGCATGACCCCCAAGTGGGGGGAGGAAGGCTGTTGCCATGGTGGCCTGTGCGAGGCAAATTCCTCCAGGGTGAAGTGGGAGATATTTATACCCAGGGTCAGGCAGAGAGCGGGCCAGCGGCTGAGGGCAGGAGAGCCAGGCCATTACGGACACAGCGAGGCCGTGGTGTGCGGGCAGGTGGCCCTTGGGCGTTTCCTGGCTGTCTCGTCCCTGGCAGTGTCTGTCTCTCCACCTGGGTGGGGTGAGGCATCTGCTCTCCCCTGCCAGGGTAGGTGCGGGGAACCTGGGGCCTGCAGTGGGGGAGGCCCCGGCCTGCGGGAGATCCTTGTGGACTGTATGTGCCTCACCCGTGTCCCTGCTGCTGGGTGACCCCCATTGTGTGGGTTGTTTTGGTGACGCTGTGTCCTGGTGAAGCAGGGGGTTGCCTCTGTTTCTCAGGGTGACCAAGCCGGATGACAGATGCTTTTAGAGTGAAGTCCCTGGACTGTCTCTGACTTAACCGCTTGGGTTCAGGCCCCAGTAGTGGGAGAATGAGGGCACGCATTTCCTGACCTTTGGTATTCCCCAGGACAATGGCATCTCTCAGCTACATCTTGGTTCTTTGTGTGGGTCTCCTTGCCATGGTCAACGCAGGTGAGTCTGGGGGAGGCAGCCCACTACCACCTCAGCCCCAGGGGTGGCAAGGGTAGGGGAAAACGCTGCAAGAGAACCAAGCTGGAGCCTCCAGTCTGAACTGAGTCTCAGTGGGGTCTGACGTGGGGTCCAGTCACAGGCTGGTATCTCGGGGAGGGGAGAGGATGCCCCAGGTCGGGCAAAGGAGGAGGGTGGGATGGAAACTGGCTTCCCGTGAATGATGGAATCATAGACAACCTGGAATGAGATGGAGAGCTGAGGCAGTCAGGTGCCTCCTGCCCAACCCTGGACAGTGCAGAGGGGCAGCCAAGACCCAGAGAGGGTGGACAGCCTACTCAGAGTCTAACAGTCCCCAGACTCCAGCCCCGAGAATGTAAAATCCCCACAGGGTCTCATGATGCCGCTCTCTGTCCAGGGTCCTAGGAAGCATCCAACCCTGATTTCTTCTTCTCTTTCCAGAAGCATCACAGGAACATGACCCATTCACTTATGGTGAGGGAGGAGCATCTTTCTCTGGGTTCTGGGCTTGATTAGCCTGCCCTCTCCTCATTCCTCCCCTCTCCCCACCTCTCTGCTTCCGTCTCCATCATTCTCTAGACTCTCGGTGTTTATATCTTTGTAATTCTAATTCTTTCTCTCTTGATTTGGCTTTCTGACTCTTTCTGTCTCAATCTCCCTTTGTCTCTGTCTCTCTGTGGGTCTCTGTCTCTATTTGGTCCCTCTCTGTCTCTCTGATTCTTTCTCCTTTTACCTCTTAGTATCCCACGGCCCATTCTCTGTTGCCACTTGCCTTTCTCCTCTCCCTGCCCCCCTCACCCGCTCCATCATCCTTCCTTACTCGATTGCTTCCTCCCTCCTCCTTGCCCTGTCCACCTCCTCCCTTTTCTCCCTGATCCCCCTTGTCCCATATCGCTCCCTCCTCCTCTCACTGATGTCCTTTCTCTCCTCTTCACCATCCTTCCTCTTTGCCCCTTCCTTCCCATTCTGCCCCTTTCCTATCCTTCCTCCTCCCCTCCCTGCATTCACCCTCCTCCCTGCATTCACCCGCCTCCCTGCTGCCCACAGACTACCAATCCCTGCGGATCGGAGGCCTTATAATCGCCGGGATTCTCTTCATCCTGGGCATACTCATCGTCTTGAGTGAGTCCCCCTACCCTGCCTTCAGTCGCTTCCGGTGTCTGCCCCAGCCCCGCCCAACCTCCCGCTCCGCCTTCAACCCCGCCCCTATCTGGGCCCCTGGCCCCGCCTTTGTTTCTACCCACCCCACTTTCCTCCCTCGGCCTTGCACCTGTTCTGCCCCTGCCCTCAGCCAGTTTCTGCCCTTCCCCCATTCCCGCCTCCGGCCCCGCCCCGTTCTTATCCTGCCTGCCCTCGGGCCCGCTCCGCCTCTACCCCCGCCCCGGCCCCGCCTCCATTTCTATCCCTGCCCCCGCCCGTTCTTATCCCCGCCCCGGACACGCCCCACTTCTATCCCCGCCCTCGGCCCCGCCCCTGCCCCTGTCCCTGCCCTACCCTTATCCTCAGCCACTCCAGCCCCGGCGAGCGAGATCTGTGGCTCGCTGTGAGGCTTAGTGTGAAATCCCAGCGCACTCCTCTCCACGGCCCCACCCACAGGCAGAAGATGCCGGTGCAAATTCAACCAGCAACAGAGGTAAGAAGCCTCTCTGGACCCTCATCTCCTCCCGCTCTAAAGGAGAGTTGGGGGTGAGGTCAGAAGTCCACTCAATCCACAGCCAGACCCTTCGGCAAATAAGTATTAAGCACCTACTACGTGTCCAGCCCCAAGCCAGGCCTTGGCACCAAGCCACGAGTTAACTGCCCTCTCTGTATGCCTGAGCTTCCAGCCATGTGGGGGCAGTGGCCATGGGTTCCAACAGACCCACAAATATAAAACCACAAAGCGTGATAAGTGCTGTGAAAGAGTCGCGGCGAAATGAGATCACCTCACTTGGCAGCCCAGTTTAGCTCAGAGTCCTGTTCCTAGCTCTTTGATTCATCGTTAAATAAAATTTTAAAGCCCAAGCAACGTATGAATATCTTCTTCCTATTAAGATTTGTAGATGTTATTATAAATAAAGGTAGTATTTTATTGTGTCCCACGTGCAAGATGCTGTTTCATTATGTGTTATTTACCCCTCACACCATCTCTATAAAGTAGGTGCTGTTATTAACCTCATTTTACAGATGAGGAAACCGAGACATGGGAAGGTGTTCACACGCCCCAGATCATTCAACTGGAAGATGAGGGCTCTGGGTTTCTAACCTAGGCTGTCTCCAGGCAATCTGCCCTCAAGTCGCTTTGGCTATGTACCTCCTCTTCCAAATTCTAGTTCCTTCCTCAGCACTCTGGGAGGTACTCGCTATTATCGGCTTGGAGCGCCTCCTGCCAAACACTTAAACTGCTCCTGGGCTGCACTGGATTTTCTCGCGGCTCCAACCAGCTCCTTGCCCATCTGTGGGTCTCAGTGGATTGGTCTGTGAAATGGGGCCGGCGCTGAGGTCTTCCAAGTGTAGCTGCCTCTCTCCTTTTCCACCCCCAATTCCTGATGCATCTCCTTTCCCAGGACTGGGGAACCTGATGAAGAGGAGGGAACTTTCCGCAGTTCAATCCGCCGTGAGTTTGGGGAGCCTTCGGGTGTTTGGGAATTCGAGTTGATTCCAAGAAGCCGTTTGCTGGCCCTCCCCGGGCGCGGGGTGGGGGGGGGTGGTTCGGGGGGAGGGGCTTGAACTGCCCTGCCGTGCCCCCAACTTTCAGAGGAGCTGGGGTGCCCCTCTTGACTTCCGGATTCTCTGTCTTCCCTCTCAGGTCTGTCCACCCGCCGGCGGTAGAGACACCTGGCGCGATGGACCCCAGCCAGGTCCCGAACTAGGCTGAGGGAGGGAGGAGAGAGGAGGAGGGGGCAAAGGGATGGGGTAGCGGGTCTGGAGGGCTCTCCTGCCCCTCGCCCTTTTCACCCCCACAAGATGCCCCTGGCACTTGACGCTTCCCACCCACCTTCTGCACGCCCATCACCACCCGGACTGCCCTCTTCCCTAGCCCTGCCCCCACAGACTCTGCCGCTCAGATTTCCAATAAAACGTGCTTTTCTCTCTTGACAGCGCTGTGCGAATCTGTCAGTCCCTTCGCCGTGGAAAGCCTGGGCGCCCCCTTGGCCCCGGCAGAGGGCGCCCCCACCCTTGGGGAAGGGGCGGGGACGTCGGCAGTGGGCGGGGGCGGGGGCGGGGGTGGCCTGGACGGGGGCGGGCTCTCCGGGTCCCCATTGGCTACGGCCCCCCGAACACCAGGGCTCCCCCCCATCTACCCCTGACAACAGTCGGTCCGGCTTCCAGCTGCTGCAGCCAGCGCTCCTTCACCGCCTCTACATCCAGCCGCCCCTTGCTCCGGCCTGGCATGGCGACCCAGGTCCCCACAAAGGGTGAGCGTCGCCTGGGGAGAGGGCGCAGCGGGGCTCCGGGATCTTAGAGCTTGACAGACGATCTGGGGGAGAGCCCAGTACTGAAAGGGGAGGGGAATGGGGAAGGGAATGTCCCCTCCTCACAGGGGCGGAGGCCCCTGCATTGCACCCCTCGGTACCCCATCGGGCACCCTCTCCAGATGATCTCGGTTCCTGTGCGGGACCCGTGGTTGGAGAGCGGCAGTCCCGGGAGAAATGATGCGCGGACCGGTAGCTATAGCAACCGTGCAGCTGGTCCAGCACAGCGGTGGTAGTGGACTCGGAGAAATGGGCTTCGAGGGTGGGAGCCGCTGGGTTTGCAGCCACAGAGGTTCGCCCAGATTTCATGGTCCCTGCGGAACGTAAGGGGACGGGGTCCATGTCCCTCTTCCCAGCCCCCCTCTCTAGTGCTGGCACCTGTGGTGGTGGGTGTTTCCTGAAATCTCTGACAGGCAGGTTCAGAGGGAAGCGAGGAGAAAGAGGGAAAGACAGGAGCTGTAGGAAGTGAGAGATGGAGAGATGGAGAGGGCAAGAGAGAGGGAGACAGTAAGAAATATAAGAAGAGACTGACTGAGACAGAGCCTGAAAGAGATAGGCACCGAGAGACAGAGGGAGGTGTAAAGACACGAGAGGGAGAGAGAGAGAAGGACCCACAGCATGAGACAGAAATGGGAAAGAGAAGGGGGGATGGCACAGGGTGGGGCCTGCACCACTGCAGTGAGCCCCCATGGGCGGGGATGGGTGGCAGGACCCTCCTTCCCAGCCCTCATTCAAGGGTGTTGTCCAAAAGGTGCATTTGGGTGTGCACACAGATGCCTTCCCACCTCCCTCCAGCCACACAGAGATGGACATTTCACAACATTAGCCCGATTAGACACCCCCTGAAATACTCACTCCCCCCAACAGTCCCCCTTCCTTGAGCTTACTTCTGCAGAGGAACAAGGGGGCAGAATGCTTTCATGGTGGGGGAGAGGTGGGCAAGGAGGGGGTTTCCAGCCCTGAGAGCAGGGTCAGGCAAGAGGCCATCATTGCTGAGGAGCCTCTGGCACCGAAGGGAACCCCAATTCCACTCTGATCTCTCCTTCCCTGCCCCCTTTCCCGGCAGGCGGGGGCTGCTGCACTGAACCATATCTGCAGAATTTGAAGCAGGGCGGGGGGGGGGGCCGTTGGGGGGGCGGCTGCAGAGGCTGGAAGCCACCCTAGGGAGAGGGGGCAGGGTTGAGCCAGAAGCCCTGGCGGGAGCCCAGCACTTCTTTTTGCAGAGATGGTGGTTAGCAGGATCGATGGCAGCAGACAGGCAGAAGTGGGAGGAAGATGCCCTGCCTCCCCTCCCCCCCACACACCCTTTCCCCAGTCACAGCAGGAGAGGGGACCGCAGGTCTGGGGAAACCCAGGGTGGAGAAAATGCATGTTGCCTGTCATAAACTGCTTAATGAAATTAATTAACAGATCGTTAGGGAGGCGGACAGCTCCCTTACACCCCTAGCCTCCACCCCAACCCTGTCAGAGAGCAGGAGGGTGTGTTGGGGGCAAATAGAAAGGAGATGGAAAGGCACAACCGGGGCTGGTCCCTATCCTTAAGAAGGACCCTCGGCTTGGCCACAAGACAGTTGTTCAGGGGCGACAATAGGAGGTACAAAGGGAGCAGAGGGAATCAGGGCTGGCCCCAGAGTTAGAAACCCAACCCTCAAGTCCCACACAGGACCCCATCCAGCCTGGGGTACCCGGATCCACCACCTCTCCTCACCTCTCAAGATGCTCCAGTTACCATAGTAACCACCTCCTTCCTGATTCTCCCTGGCAACTGGCCAGGAGTGGTGCACATTCCTTCTCCTGCCTCCTGGCTCCACCCTTAGCTCAGCCTCGCCTTGAGGACCCAGATTGCTGGGACAGCAGGAACTAGAGAACTTCTGCATGGAGCAAGGAGCACCCCGGGAGGGTGGAACCAGAGAGGAACCAGAGAGGATTCTGGGGCAGGCGCTCACCTTCTGGGGCAGGGCTTCTCAGAAGGTGTGAGGAAGCAGGATGTGTGGAAAAAAGGGAGACAAAAACAGGATAATTCAACTGTTCCATCTCTGATGCTGCCTAGCAGGGCAGCATTCATTCATTCATCCATTCATTCTAGAAAAGTTTTTTGAACAACTTTATAAATGCCAGGATTAACAGCAGAGATGAGTCAAATAAATTTGCTCTCCATCTGGTAGGGGAGCTAAGACAGAGCAGAGATGACTCTAAAGTAATATTTTCCCATCTTGATGCTTATGAGTACCACCTTTATGATTTTTGCTCTGTCCAAATATCCCCCACACTGACATTTAACATTTTTTTCCTTCAGAGGATTAACTTTTAAAAAACGTTGTTAGCTTTATTTTATATCACCTCCACAAATGGAAAATCAGGACTTTTTTTTGTCTTACATTCAAAGCAAGTATTAAAATTATCTTAAACAACTGATTTCACTTTTCTGGGCCTCAGTGTTCCTCTTTAGTGGAAAGAGAATGAAGATAGTGCCTATATCAGAGGACTACTGTGAAGATTAAGTGTGGTAATATCTGTAAAGAGCTTAGAAGAGAGCCTGGCATGGAATCAGTGCTATCAAGTGCTACTTAGATAAATAAATAAAGGAGAAAATCAAATAATGTCATAACAGTCTACTTAGATATTATTACCTGCTGAAGACCCTGAGCCCAAGGCCTGTTTTCTCTTGAGAGATTAACAAGGGTTGGAAGGTGTAGAGATATATCAGCTCCTTTTTAAGACTGTCTCTTTGAAAACTAGACAGGGAACTGAAGAGGGTGAACTTACGGTGAATCAGTGCTATTCAGGGTCTTGCATCAGTCAGTTTAAGCTACAGTATGCAGGACCAAGGTTTCCCTGGTGGTTCAGCAGTAAAGAATCTGCCTGCAGATGCAGGAGACACGGGTTTGATCCCTGGGTCAGGAAGATCCCCCAGAGAAGGAAATGGCAGCCCACTCCAGTACTCTTGCCTGGAGAAATCTCATGGACAGAGGAGCCTGGCGTGCATGGAGTCATAAAAGTGTCAGACCTGACTGAGATACTAAACAACAGCAAACAGAGTACCAAAAATCTCAGTGACTTCTGACAACCAGAGTAGATCTCTCACTTAGACCATGTGTCCACCACGGGTTGACTAGGGGTCTCTACTTCCCAAAGAAAACTGGGGCAGCCACACTCTTGAGCATTCATGTCACCAAGCCAAAGGCAAAAGAGAGCTCTTGCATGGGCAGTTAATGCTGCAGACCAGACTCACGGTTCATTGGCCAGAATTAGTCACATGTTCTCCTTCCCAACCTCAAGGTAGCCATCCTTCCTGAGCCTGGTTGGGGGAAGGACACTAATGACAACATCTGGCATCACCCTTGTATTCCCAGTACACCCCCTCCCCTAGTGGGGCATGTTTTGCAGAATTTCACTCTAAACAAGGCAAGGTGTACTAAAAGCTGTCAGTGTATTAGGGAAGCAGCAGGATGGGTTTCGTGAATGGGAAAGATGTTCTGAGATCTCCTGGAGGAGAATACCATTTGAGACAGGGAGGTGGGAGATGGGGAAAAGTAAATACACACACACACATACACAAAGACACACACATACATACACACATTAGTGAAAGTGAAAGTGTGAGTTGCTCAGTCTTGTCCAACTCTTTGTGCGCGACCCCATGGACTGCAGTCTGCCAGGCTCTTCTGTCCATGGAATTCTCCAGACAAGAATACTGGAGTGGATTTCCATTCCCTTCTCCAGTGGATCTTCCTGACCCAGGGATTGAACCCAGATCTCCTGCATTGTAGGTGGACTCCTTACCATCTGAGCCACCAAGGAAGCCGCCATAGACATTTTCCACATGTTAACATTTAGAAATCAGGGTGAGTCTTCTAGTGGATCAGTATGTTTTTATGTGGTACAGTTACATAAATATACATGCATACCTGCACACACTGGGAAAGTGACCACAAAATCAACTTTGAATCTTTAATTTGATGGTGTCCAAGAAATAAGTAATATAGGAATAATACAATATAAATTTTTGGACAGTTCCTGTCTGCTGGATTTGGTGGCAGGAACAAGTGGAAGAGAGCAGCAGTCACAGTGCCCACTTTTCGGAGCTCTCAGAAGACCGAGAAGTTGTAGGGAGTGTTCAGGGGAAGCTGATATACTGAGCAGTTCTCCAGTGGGATTCATACTCCCAATATCATATGCAAAAGAGAGTGTATATGTGTTTCTCAAGAAATGAGTCCATGCTTGCCTTAGACTTCCATAGGGGTCTAAGATCAGGACTGCCATGTACAGTTAGGTAGGTTGGGCATTGTGTAAGGGAAGGTATAGACCAATGGAGTGAGTTGGGGCTGAAATCCAGCTTATGCTCCAGTCTTTAAG